TAAAACTCAGCCACAGCCAGATGAATGTAGACTGAGCTGCTTGTATATTGAAGTGAATACTACCTTCCTGACAATAGAGACCACAGGAAGCTGACACCAGGAACAAAATATTCTTTTCCCTGTACACAAACAAAAAAATCTTACACGGCAACATCGGAGAAATGAAAAGATCCCAGACAAAGTACTCCATAGGACATTTCTTGTGAATCACCTGTCAATAGGTACTGTAGCGAAGGTACACACATTAATCAGAGAATAACATCAATATAAAAAGGCTCCTGTTCTGATAACTTCAGATGAAATTGTTACATTCATTGTGGCCAAATATAATGTTATCAAAGCAGAGTTCTATGTATATTTATCACCAACACCTATATGATGGATATCCGAACCCAAAGTCACATTTTAGTAGCTGACTAGGAGATGAATGTAGGCTGTAAGATGGGTTGAGAGGGTGAATGATAAAATTAATATGTTGTGAGTTCTGTAAGTGAGGGTAAGTACGCTATTGGGAAAAAAAATCTTGCAAGTCTGTTGCAGAGTCCCTGAACCAAATTATTTCCACTCCGCCCAGCTTTCACTATAATGCTCCAAATTAATTAAATCTACATTTTTATTTATATATATAAAACAAAGTCTAAAACCAAGCCACTGTAATTCAGACACTAAGCATCAGTCTACCATCATGCCACCATGACCTGTTGTGGGAGGGTTGCTACCTGTCAGCTAAGGTTATAATCACTGAGGCGGCAGGGATTGCTGAGTGACAAGATGGTGTGCAGGTTGTTTGGTCAGCAGGCTAAACTGGACAGTCTGCTGACAGAAGCCATCTGTCACTGGTCATTAGCGACATTCATCACAAGTTAACCCTATTCCATTACACTCACATAACAGACCTAATAATGTATAACTGACTGACTGCAACATTCAATATCACTTGTAACACATACAGACATATATATGAGACTGCTTGTTCAAAGGCCAGAGTGAGGAAAAAAACATAACCTGCTTGGTTTTGTCAGTTAACAGTTTATGATTATAACACATAGTTAAATATCACTATTTTACTTGAGACAAATGGCATTATGATATTTTCATTAGTTTTCAAAAATATTTACAGGACATATTGAGATACATTCCATTAGGACAGTTTTCACTGAGAAATGACTTCTGTACAGAAATACAACACAAGAAGTATTTAAAACTTGAGGTTTCAGTATGGAAATAGATCACAAATAGAGAACTTCCCATAACTAAAGCTGTGACAATACTTTAGAGAGGGACAAACCTATGCCTGAACTGTTCGATACAAGGAAATCATTTAACTGGGACCATGCAGGAAGCTAACACCTGTTTATAAGCATGTGATCTGTCAACATTAAGGCAAACTGGTACTCAACCGTAACCCAATACACAGTGCTAGTTGATTGCTGCAGGTGGACTGCCTGAAGTCAATCTCACAGTACTATTTACAGTACAATAGTCAGCTGAGCAACAGGCTTGGTGTCAACACATTCTTCAGTAAACTGGGTACACTAAGTGGCTAGTGTAAAATTGAGTTATTTCAAGAGGATGATGTTTGATTTTCACTTGAAACCAAAACCAATGTAACCGATTAAACAAACGATTTGACATGTGACCTACTTCATGAAATGGAGGTCGCTTCTGCACATCCAGTACTGACAATTCCTAAACCTACTAAAACTACCAACAATACTTCAACAGTAATATCAATGACCTAATTATCAACTATTCAGATGCCAGTATACATCTATAATATTTATTGAAAGTTATTTCATGTGCAAATTTGGGGGATGCACTTTTTCACAAATATCAATACAAGAACTCATTAACACAACCACCTTACATCTGGGAAACTGCAATATACAGGAAAACGTGATTAAATATTCATGTAATTTTATAGCCAGGGCTAATAACCATGCAAACTTTGTTACATGTGTTTCAAGACAGATGTTCATATCACTCACTGATCCTACCTATAAATAATTTAATGAGAATATTATCAAAACCAGACAAGCCTGCACACACTGGAACTAAAGACAATTGATGCTGACCACAATGAAGCACTGCTATGCTGTGATGAGAGATCGGATTCCATCAGCTCTATATAAACAAGTCCCTGTTGTATACTGAATAACCTTCCAATCCATGGTAATTTCATCACTAGCACAAGCGGTAATTGACAATCATTACTCGCCTATCAGCCTACTGTCCTATAGATAGATGTCTCCAGGGAGTGTTAGATGAGAGCGGCCACAGGAGCATCGTGTTTGGGTCAGTCTGATTAGCAGGATTATTGTCAAATTTGACATACATATTAAGATTTATCTCTTCAGTGTACATGTGTATGTATCCCACTGTTACCTCACTGCCCTGGGGTACACACTAGATCATCAATACTTCTTGTCTTTCAACACATATTCACATCCAGGCTGTTGCCTTCTAGCCAAGAGCAGGCAGTACTTATACCACCCATTCATGCCTTTGGGCTGATGAAAGTTTGGGCTTGGGAAATTCATACATTTACAGGCTGCCTTTCAAAACAGCTGGACATCACTGTAGTCTTGCATTGATTTATGTCATGCCGGTAATTTGTTAAATCATAAAATTGGAATTTATACTATTAGCTTGATTAAAGAGTCAGTTAAAGAAGTGTCTATCCAAACAAATACCAGACTGTAATTGGTCAGTGCAGCTGCACTCTAATGCAATACAACCTGGTAACAATTTACTCTTAAAAAAGACTACACTGTGGTACAAGACCTGAAAAGCATTGTCACTAAAACAATGTTAGTTCCAGAGACGATATCTTTAGAGATCTCACCAATTCAAGCATGTGGCATAGCGACATGATCTCACATCAACATTGTAACTGTTGAGTACAGAGAGGTGTGGCTCTAAGTTGCAGCCCTGCTTATATTCTAAGGAATCTGCCTCCATTGTGACTAAAGCTGCAGTGCAACAGTTTTTTCTTTAGCTGTTTCTTGTTTTTGCTCCAATTGGCATGCATGTATTGGGATCCTTCAGGATTGAAACCAAGCCTCCATATCCTGGAGTTCTCCACCTGCATTTGCCTCATGCTAAACATGTTGAAATGTCAACTCATCAAATTACCCAGACACCACATGCAGCCTCACAGAATGGAATCGGTGCCATATATCATATGGCTGAAAACAAGTGTAAATGAACAACATTGGGACATGCTCAACCCAACAATATTGACATTCATCAAATGCTTGTTCAAGTATTATCGTTAACGCTGACCGTATACCTGATAAAATAAATAAACAGCAGCTCATGTGATGTATCATTTCCACACACTGAATCAATGAATACCATTATGATAGTTCTAGAATGTCAAGAAATATTATAGTTAAATGGTTGTAATACCAACAATGGGCCCTTCATATTTCATCAAATTCATAGAAGTTTTCTACTGATTAACATCAGGAGGTCAGTGCATTTGTTATCTTCCGTTATCACTGATACAAGTGATGATAATGTCAGTTTTCATGAGATATTTTAACATAACAGTATTCAAACTTCAACACTTGCACACAATCTTAATTAAATGAATGGCTCTATTTCCAACTTTCAGCTACAAATAAACCAACAGGGATATTCTGAACTGCAATAGCAAGAATAATACTTTGAGCAATGATAGGGAGAAATCTAAATGCAGAATGAGGAAATGACCTGGCACTGAAAGAAGAAACAACCATTCAAATGTACATGTGATGACTCCTCATCCTGGACACACACGGAAATGAATACTTTTTAGTTGCATGATGGTGGTGACCCAGAGGAAATGTACCAATAAATAGTTATAAACAAGTGCAATTTTCACAACCACATTAGGTAGTTTTGGTCCTGATCTATACAAAGTAACACACTGGTCCTAGTCATTTCTGATAAAGGCATAATTATATTGAAGAAAACATGATCGTAACCTGCAAGTGAGAATTTGACACAAATGTAGATAAGCCTTCTGATCGTTCCAGCCACTTGAATTATAAAATTACATGTTATTTTTATGAATCAAAAGCAATATGAAACTCCGTTAGACATGATCGAAATAAGGGATTGTGTTTGGATTTGGTAACCTTACTTAAACAAAGTGACAGGAACAATAAGAATTCTTTCAAAATGTATTACAATTATATGAATGAGATATATAAACAAATATTAATGATAAGATAAGTTATTCACATGGACTGGCCCAAAATAACAAAAGACTCACAGTCTTTTCATGTTACCATATAGAAAAACTTGACTTAGTAGAGAGAGAGAGAGAGAGAGAGAGAGTGAATGTTGTGTTAATACTGTAACCATACTATAACCATAAGTAACCAACTTCCTATACATAAAAGATTGAAATAGATCAGTGCTTGACAACATAAGAAATGGTCAAAACCAGTGATTGCCTGAGGAAGCCCTTATGACTGGATTGGGATGTTGAAGGACTGTTTTTCTCTAGAATTCCCTTGAGTACTATTGTGGTGTATGTGACAGGCCTTGTGAATACATGATGTTTAGTGCGTAGGCTGTAACACGGCAGTGCATAGGGAAGCATACACATAAATGAACGTGTCTCGTACATCGTTGAATGGTGGAATGTGTTCTTACGACACGGTGTCAATGGTAACAGATCTGCTGCTGACATTAGCCGATTAGGTACATATCACGAAGTTACAGGATCGTTTCCATATCACCTGTCAACGATTAATGACATTTTTAACAAACAAGGAGCCCGTGGCTCCAATATTTTCGCTGAAATTGTTCAGCCAATTAAAAAATGTCCATGTCGCAAAGAAATGCGTCACATGCGTCATATCTGACACCTTTGCCGATACCTGTGAGTCAGCGCTCGGAAGCAGACAACATCGCAAGATTCACTGCCTCCGTTCAGCACTTCCGACTGACCCCGATTTTGGTCCTGGGGACGCACAAAGGACACATTGATAGTGAAATGTACTTACGATCTTTCTCGTGATCATATCCAACAATGGCGAAGTAGTCAGCCAACCGAGACATCGCACTATTTCCCAAATATTGCTTTCCAGTAACCTCGTCCCATCTTTACGTCGCCATTTTGATTCCCGACTTGACGGCGCACGGCACTGAGCATTTCTTGGGTTTCCGGCATATCTTGGTGCAAGGGAAACAACTCCTGTTTTTACTCCACTCTTTCCTGGTATCGAAATTATATAATTTCCTGGCAGTCAAATAATAAAGATTCTTTAGCATATGATAGAAAACCGAGCTTGCTGATACAGCTTCGTTGAACCATAGACATTGACACTTGTTATACATGAGTTTTTAGAATATCGTGATAGTTCTCTTTTATGAATTGATTAATATTTTCATGTAAGAATTAATGAATTTCCTATATTAAATCACGTACTCGAAATGATTTTGTGTCAACTTCTACAATCAATATTTAAAACTATTTTCACTCGGTACCTGATTTGTGCAGCGAGTGTGAACGAACAGACACCTTATACTAAAGTCTAATTGATTTAAACGTGATATGGATGAACGATATCAGTTGAGTAATTTGATTAGCGGCCACAGGCCTGTTGACATGGCTCAGATACAGAATTCTGTCACGGAAGAGAACAGGCACCTGTCAAAATACTCACCGTTCGCGTGTGGTTCGTCACGCATTAGGGCGAATCCACAGCCCACATTGATAAACAACATACCACGGTTGACTGCACTTCGACATGGGTCACATGATGTCACGTACGGTCCAACTGAATTATTTGGTGTTGCTCTAAATGAACTCATTTGTATTGAATTACTCGGAGAATAAATTGCTAATGAAGAATGTCTCTGTGATTCTTCTTATTAGTTACATCAATGTAATTTAATAACCGTTTTCTGTGAAATATGTCGATTTCAGAGACTAGGTGCTGGTCGATGTCTAAACAAGCTGATGTTGTGATCATCATCATTTTGTTCATGTTGACATTATTGCGAATCATCCGGGATTTCCAAATTGTGATACATACATCTGAGTAATATGTTTTCCGTCTTAACAAGATTGAGAAATCAATACTTTAACGGAGACTTTGCTGTATCCCACACACACACGCACGCACGCACGCTACAGGCACATAGAGACATACACACAAAACCACCGTGCTTTAATTTTAGGGCGGTACCTTATAGCAACGTTTTCGCTTGTCATACCAAAGACCATGGTTCGATTCCTTGCTGCAAAATGTAAAATTGTTACATGAGTCGCCGTTATTCATTGTTTACGTTTGAACATACCTTTCTACCTGCCTATATATGTCTAAGTTGTTCGTGCTCATCAGGGGGCGTGGGGGTAACCTTAAAACCTTATTTTTTAACGTTCGCTCGGCAAGCAGAAGGTCCGGGGTTTGATCATTCCCCATTTCTGGTATTCACGCCCCCCATGCCATTATATTTTCTCGGAATTCTGCTAAAAGCGACTGACAACCAAACTCATTCCTTCCCTCAGTGCTTTGAAAGTAGACTAACAACTAGTCTCTGAAATGAACATATTTTACTGAAAAAGTTCATAGTAAAAAAAAATAAAATATAATGAAAAGGAGCCCTGAGACTTTCCTCATTTTCAGAAGCTGAGGAAATCTAGACTTGCCACATTTTCTAGACTTGTGTGGGCTTTCTTGGATATATTTGCTTCAGGGTCTGTACGACAGACTACTTTGAAAACACTGTATGTATATTTATATTTTCACTGTCAGTTTACTACTAGCTGTTTGTCTCAAATTTACCACTCTTCTTTTCTATTGTTGGGCGGTCTGGTGTCCCCGCCGTGATATAGCTGGAATATTGTTAAAAGCGGCGTAAAACTGAGCTCACTCACTCTTGTTGGGCGGTTTTGTCACAAATCAAGAAGCACCCTTATAATAATATGTAGGGGCTTGCTATGCCTTGTGCAGTTGTCTCCCCTTGTCAAAAACACGTCAAAAGAACGGTGCAGCTGCATCTGATAGCACACACACGCACGCACGTACATGCTCAAAACATAACAAAACACACCCAATACACACTTTTCCATTGCATTTTGTTACTGCCAACCCAGTGCTTGCATGTACAACATCGACATTCCTGTCTGACTGTTTCAGATACATTTGAACATTACCAATAATTATTCATAATAATAAACAACACACAACCATTTATTAAATGGAGATGAAGTTATGTAATGAAGCGGATTGTACACCAAGGTTTAGGGATGTTTTAGCCGTTTATTTGTAACGAACAGTTTGAAAGATGAAACAGAAAGATATATTATGATTTCTTTATTTTCTGCAATACGGGCGTAAATTGTAGTCAGTACTTGTATGTTATCTCCCTACTCAAATTCTCCTACCTTAAAAGTCTCATTTATAAATGAATTACCTAAGCTTATTCCAGTGCTATGCTCTGTTAAAAGCTTCATCGTCTATCATCAGCGACTTCAGGTGGACCTTAACAAATTTGGCCAAAAGAAATCTGACATCGCACTATTTCCCAAATATTGCTTTCCAGTAACCTCGTCCCATCTTTACGTCGCCATTTTGATTCCCGACTTGACGGCGCACGGCACTGAGCATTTCTTGGGTTTCCGGCATATCTTGGTGCAAGGGAAACAACTCCTGTTTTACTCCACTCTTTCCTGGTATCGAAATTATATAATTTCCTGGCAGTCAAATAATAAAGATTCTTTAGCATATGATAGAAAACCGAGCTTGCTGATACAGCTTCGTTGAACCATAGACATTGACACTTGTTATACATGAGTTTTTAGAATATCGTGATAGTTCTCTTTTATGAATTGATTACTATTTTCATGTAAGAATTAATGAATTTCCTATATTAAATCACGTACTCGAAATGATTTTGTGTCAACTTCTACAATCAATATTTAAAACTATTTTCACTCGGTACCTGATTTGTGCAGCGAGTGTGAACGAACAGACACCTTATACTAAAGTCTAATTGATTTAAACGTGATATGGATGAACGATATCAGTTGAGTAATTTGATTAGCGGCCACAGGCCTGTTGACATGGCTCAGATACAGGAATTCTGTCACGGAAGAGAGAACAGGCACCTGTCAAAATACTCACCATTCGCGTGTGGTTCGTCACGCATTAGGGCGAATCCACAGCCCACATTGATAAACAACATACCACGGTTGACTGCACTTCGACATGGGTCACATGATGTCACGTACGGTCCAACTGAATTATTTGGTGTTGCTCTAAATGAACTCATTTGTATTGAATTACTCGGGGAATAAATTGCTAATGAAGAATGTCTCTGTGATTCTTCTAATTAGTTACATTAATGTAATTTAATAACCGTTTTCTGTGAAATATGTCGATTTCAGAGACTAGGTGCTGGTCGATGTCTAAACAAGCTGATGTTGTGATCATCATCATTTTGTTCATGTTGACATTATTGCGAATCATCCGGGATTTCCAAATTGTGATACATACATCTGAGTAATATGTTTTCCGTCTTAACAAGATTGAGAAATCAATACTTTAACGGAGACTTTGCTGTATCCCACACACACACGCACGCACGCACGCACAGGCACATAGAGACATACACACAAAACCACCGTGCTTTAATTTTAGGGCGGTACCTTATAGCAACGTTTTCGCTTGTCATACCAAAGACCATGGTTCGATTCCTTGCTGCAAAATGTAAAATTGTTACATGAGTCGCCGTTATTCATTGTTTACGTTTGAACATACCTTTCTACCTGCCTATATATGTCTAAGTTGTTCGTGCTCATCAGGGGGCGTGGGGGTAACCTTAAAACCTTATTTTTTAACGTTCGCTCGGCAAGCAGAAGGTCCGGGGTTTGATCATTCCCCATTTCTGGTATTCACGCCCCCCATGCCATTATATTTTCTCGGAATTCTGCTAAAAGCGACTGACAACCAAACTCATTCCTTCCCTCAGTGCTTTGAAAGTAGACTAACAACTAGTCTCTGAAATGAACATATTTTACTGAAAAAGTTCATAGTAAAAAAATAAAATATAATGAAAAGGAGCCCTGAGACTTTCCTCATTTTCAGAAGCTGAGGAAATCTAGACTTGCCACATTTTCTAGACTTGTGTGGGCTTTCTTGGATATATTTGCTTCAGGGTCTGTACGACAGACTACTTTGAAAACACTGTATGTATATTTATATTTTTCACTGTCAGTTTACTACTAGCTGTTTGTCTCAAATTTACCACTCTTCTTTTCTATTGTTGGGCGGTCTGGTGTCCCCCGCCGTGATATAGCTGGAATATTGTTAAAAGCGGCGTAAAACTGAGCTCACTCACTCTTGTTGGGCGGTTTTGTCACAAATCAAGAAGCACCCTTATAATATGTAGTAGGGGCTTGCTATGCCTTGTGCAGTTGTCTCCCCTTGTCAAAAACACGTCAAAAAGAACGGTGCAGCTGCATCTGATAGCACACACACGCACGCACGCACGTACATGCTCAAAACATAACAAAACACACCCACACACACTTTCCATTGCATTTTTGTTACTGCCAACCCAGTGCTTGCATGTACAACATCGACATTCCTGTCTGACTGTTTCAGATACATTTGAACATTACCAATAATTATTCATAATAATAAACAACACACAACCATTTATTAAATGGAGATGAAGTTATGTAATGAAGCGGATTGTACACCAAGGTTTAGGGATGTTTTAGCCGTTTATTTGTAACGAACAGTTTGAAAGATGAAACAGAAAGATATATTATGATTTCTTTATTTTCTGCAATACGGGCGTAAATTGTAGTCAGTACTTGTATGTTATCTCCCCTACTCAAATTCTCCTACCTTAAAAGTCTCATTTATAAATGAATTACCTAAGCTTATTCCAGTGCTATGCTCTGTTAAAAGCTTCATCGTCTATCATCAGCGACTTCAGGTGGACCTTAACAAATTTGGCCAAAAGAAATCTGAAATTTGACATAAAACATGCATTTAATGATTTACCAGTTACATTATATTTCCTGGTCTGCTAGCTATTCTTCTATATGCAGGGATTAAGATATTCGTTTGTACTGTCTTGTATTCTATGCCGGAAATAGCAATCAGCTGTCCGCCCAACCTACCGGTGATGCAGTTCCCGCAAAATACTTCAAAACATAACTTCATGGAGTCAGGTTGCCATTGCCGAAACAAACTGTATCTGAAACCATTATTGAGGAAGGAAGAATATATTCCAATATCGGCTAAATTATTGTGAAAGCATATTGAATAATATTTGTATCAAAATGATATAATGGATGACATAAATTCACACATGCAAGGTACACTTATTGTAACCAATATGTGCAATTTAATGAATTACCAATTTACAAATTGATTGAAACATTAGTCGATTTATTTGACAGATTGACTGTTTCAATGTTTTTTATATAAAACGTAACTTTTAGAGAAACAGCTAAGACACAGACACTCAATTTATGTGACTGTATGATATATGTAATACTTGTAATGTATGTGAGTGCATTCCCCTCTGAACTATACACAGACATGATACAGTGAAATTCTTCATATTTACTACCCATCAAAAGTTTAAACCCACTTAAAGCACTCACTATATGTTATGTATATATATGTGGTTACATCGAAGATGAATTTCTCCACGAACTTAGGGGAACCAACTGCAAACCTTATGCAGATGAACTGCACGATGATTGCTGAAAAGCATGCGCAAATATCGTGCATGTGAACTGCTGCGTTTTGGTGTAAAGATTTGTTAAGAGTTTCATCATTTATTGAACTCATCACAATAATCTTTTCAACGTTACGAATTTGTTTTACAATACATCAGTTCATGTGTAAACAGTACCTTTAAACAGTATGGAATATTTTGCAAAGTCTAGTTTAGAACAGTTGACTGAAGTAAGTGACTACATTTACACAAACTTTTGATGGTTAGTATATACATATATTCACAAAACATACCTCACCCACCCACCCCCTTTTCTTGCAACAGTGAATCGTGTCACGCCGTAAACAGTCGCCAGGAGGAAACCGCTCAACACGCAAACCGTATACGGTCCTAGTATATGTCTTGCTATCATGCAGAAAACCAACAAGAGACACAGCAGTAGACTCAAGCGTCATAACTGTACAAGACATGACATGAAATAAACATAAGAGAATGTCATTCAACTTTACATTTCAAACACCGCTCCTTCGTATCGACTACGTATCGACTATTTATATAATGACATTCCGCCACCCGTGCAATGTGTTATTTATAGTGCCGACGCGAGGAGACGCTATGTCCTGTACTCCGTGTACAGTGGGGATAGACCATGGCGTCTGTGCAGTGATCGTGTACTGTCTCAAGGGGAAACTGTTTGAGCCACACTGTGGTAGGTATCAACTGACTACTTTATAACCTTTATGTAATGGGGACTCACACATCAATACCCTACGCTGTATCCCGTGTTCTTGTGAAGGGTGTTTGAAAGAAGGAATGCTAAGGGTCTAAGTTAACCCCGAGGCGCACCTGAATCAGCTGGTCGTTGGCTCGAATCTCATTGCCGGTCCGATTATGATCCTTGTAGTGTTCGACAGTTGTGTTGACATAAAGGCCATAAAGGGTTGACATAAAGGGTTGACATAAGGGTTGACATAAAGGGTTAATATCAGGCCTGTGTAGTTGTTATTTTAGTGCATTCTTTCCATATCACGGCTATCATTTCTTGGGGGGAATGACGTCAATTTTGAATATCATTAGTTGGCTTCGACAGTTTAACTTCAAACAAGGAGCTTTTTGAATTACTGAAATATTTAGAGTATTTAAAGATGGTCATCTATGTCATTTTTTTCAAAATGAGACTTCTACTTCGTCGCATGCATTCTGCAATGGCACGCATGTGACCCTGGCACGTGATAAACAGTCGAACAGGTAACACTATAGTGAGGTGTCAGGTAACGCCAACTCAGACGGTCGACCTACACGGACCTCCCAGTTTCTATACACTATGTAATTGTATCAGTTAACGACTCTACGAGGTGGGATGTAGAAGTTGGGGCAGTAGATATGCCATGTCTAAGAAATGTGCAAACATTTATCAGTTGCTATTTTAGCTTCATATTTAAGTCTTTGTTCAGTTCAACATATTTTGGAATATTCGATACAGTAGACTGGTCATTCATCGGAAAGACACTCACCTTTTTCAATTTTGGAGATTCTGGGTACGTATATTTTATAAAAATATAACTTCCAGTGTACTAGTTCATGGTTTTGGTTCTTCAAACTTCAACATCTATAGAGGCTGTCGTCAAGGAGATCCACTTTCACCATATCTCTTCATACTTTGTGTTGAAATTTTAGCAATAATGATACGAAATAATGCAGAAATAAAAGGAATACATGTAAACAATGTTGAATACTTACTCAATCAGTTTGCCGATGATACTACCTGCTCTTTAGATGGATCTGAACGCTGTCTGCAAGCAGGTTTTAACGTGTTTTGCGCCGTTTTTCAGGATTGAAAGTAAATATAGAGAAAACTAGAATTTTATGGATTGGCTCTAAAAAGCGCTCAAGAATAAAGCTCTGTAGAAATTTCAATCTAAAGTGGGAACAAAGTTATTTTGAATTACTCGGAATAAAATTTGATTTAGATCTTGATGAAATGGTTGATCTTAACTATAAAGATAAATTGATACACTGCGAAATCCTCATGTCAATTTGGTCTATAAGAAATCTCACTCCTTTGGGTAGAAATACTGTACTTAAATCGTTAATCATTCCAAAATTAAATCATCTCTTCGCTTCCATCCCAAATCCTCCGGACAAAGTAATAGATGACTTTCAAGGAAAATGTTTAAAGTTCATACAATGTGGAGAAACAAACCTGATACAGGTAAACGTGATCAACTTATATGTAATATTAAAGATGGCGGCCGGAACGCACCGAATATAAAGGAGGTGATGCAGGCTCAAAAAGTGTCGGTTATAAGACGTTTCTACATGAAGTACACTAGCGCAGTTAAAGCCTTCTTTAAAATCAAACAAATCAATTTCGAAAACATCAACAAAAAAGTAAACCCAATACAACCATATATCTTCAACCTTCTGACAAGACAAACAACTGGTTGTCAAGTTTATTACAGGGCTTTATTGGAAACAAAAACAAATCGCAATCAACACTGTATGAAATGGAATGTTATATTAGGAAATGAAATTGCAATTGATATAGATACTTGGCACAACTATAACCATATTCCCTTTCGTTGTACAAAAGATACAGATCTACAATGGATTTCAATACAAACTGCTTCATCATATTTTGCCAACGAACAGTAGACTTTTTAGAATGAAATATATTGACCTTAACCAATGTAGCTTTTGCTCAAATTCTATGGAAACAACACCCCACCTCCTTTATGATTGTAGCAAGGTTACCCATATATGGAAGAAACACCAAGATTGGCTTGATGATAAACTGGATTCAAATTTAAATTTCAACAACACAAATTCTTCTTGGATTCCGTCGTAAACATAATGACCCAATTAATGTGATCCTCATCCTTTTCAAAAGTATTATTTTTAATCGTAAAACATCTGGAAATATGCCAACATTTCAGTTTATGTTGAAAAGGCTATGTTATGCTCCAGAATCGACGCTTTTTACAAATTCTGGTCGGCATGTCACAACCTGTTTAACGACTGATTTAGTTTGTATTGCCATTGCTACATGCCCTGTATAACCTCTATACAGAGGTAGCCCTCTACCCTGCTTGCTGGAGCCCATGTGCAACTGTAAACATGGTATGAAAAATAAAAAATTATAACAAAATATTTTGGAATAACATTCTTATTTATATCTGAAATGCAGGTTAAGGAAATCCAAACATGTGATAAAACATTTAGTCACATGTACTTGTTCAGCATTACATTCTCTCTTGAAGTTGAAGCATTAACCTCGCAGACTCAAGTCTGAATAGAAAGCAAAAAGAAAGGCTTTAACGTAAACTTAAGATTTTTACTTTTCCAGGTATTGTCGTACCTGGTGTCTTGTAGTCTTATAACGAGGTTTCGGTATATGTTGTAGCTTTGTATGTGACAGACTGATCACCTGTGAAGATCCGGGTTAGTCCTGCATACCTGTGTTTGTCATAAGAGGTGTGCAGGCTTTCTGACGTGACCCAAATACATAGGTCGATTTCCAGACATGATGTTGCTGTTAAACAATCAAATATATCAGCAAATAGGTTAATCAGTATTCTGTATGCACTGAGTGAGTTTAGTTTTACGCTGTTTTTAACAATATGTCAGCTACGGAAGCGTAGTAGGGCCACGGTGAAATATTTTTTTGGTCTTACTATCTCCTACGTAGTACTTAATATCTCCTACGTAGGACTTAGTATCTCCTACGTAGGACTTAGTATCTCCTACGTAGGACTGTAGGACTTAATATCTCCTACGTAGGACTTAGTATCTCCTACGTAGGAGTTAGTATCTCCTAAGTGGGTATCTCCTACGTAGGACTTAGTATCTCCTACGTAGGACATAGTATCTCCTACGTAGGACTTAGTATCTCCTACGTAGGAGTTAGTATCTCCTAAGTGGGTATCTCCTACGTAGGACTTAGTATCTCCTACGTAGGACATAGTATCTCCTACGTAGGACTTAGTATCTCCTACGTAGGACTTAGTATCTCAGCCTCAGCCTCAGCCGCAGCCACAGTCAACAGCTTGACATCACCCCGGTCAGCTGACCTCGGCTCCTCTATGGACGACAGCTAGGGACTCGGCCAGGCCCACAACTCTACACGACCGCAATTATCAGGTGCAGAATATTCCAGTTCTTTTTGTGATCTAATTATTTTAACTTGGGATATTGATGGTTTCCTCACAAAATTTAACGATAGGGATTTCGTTGAGTATATACAAAGCTATAACATCGTTTGTCTAGTCGAAACGTTTCTAGACAGTGTCATATCCATACCTGAGCTCTCATCCTATGTTATGTATATCTGTAAAGCACATAGGCTAGCTAAGTATGGTAGATTATCAGCTGGGGTTGTAATGTTGGTTAAACGCACCATGGCGTCTCACTGCCAACAAGTCTTCACTGACATAAGCAATGTTGTATGTCTCAAGATAGAGAAAAACATTGTCATTAAACATAAAGAAATCATCATACTAGGAATGTATGCCCCTCCTGCCAGCTCGACATTTTATGTTACAGTCGATAAATCCAACCCCATCGACAAGCTAGATGAATGGCTCACTCAACACCGTGACTCGAACGCAGAAGCTATTATCTGTGGGGACTTGAACGCCAGAGTTGGTAGTGGTAACAGCCAACCTGAGACATTTGACACTGAACGACTTGACAGAAGTGCCTTCCCGGATGAAGATCCTGTGCTACTAGGCCAGAGACACTCATGCGACAATGTTATAAACTCGTTTGGTCGTAAGCTTTTAGACCTATGTTTTGCACACAATCTGTACTTGTTCAATGGACGAACAAATGGAGATTGGGATGGCAATTTCACTTATATTTCAAACCAAGGATGTAGTGTAATTGATTTTTTCATTAGTTCTGTTGATGTACATCAAATCTGTAAATACATACACATTGATACTCGTGTTGAGTCGAAACATATGCCAGTGAGTTTACATTTAAAGTGTATTACTGAAGTGACAGACAATAATGCTAACTGTAAACATGAACAATCACAAGATGAGTTTAGATATAGGTGGGGCGATAACAAGGCTGATGCATATTTACAAACTCTAAGTTGTCTGTGGAGGAATGAAGAACTCAAAGATCATATAGAGAACGATGTTAATTATGCAGTCGATGAATTTGTATCTGTCATTCTTGGAGCTGCTCATTGTATGAAAAAGCCTCTTGGAAACAAAAATATCGTCAATAATTCATTCTATAATCATCATTGTAAATCTGCTAAAAGAGAAGCAAGACGTGCTTTGAGAAGACTCAGAAAACATAAATCAAACGAAACAAGAAGCACGTATTGCAAACTAAGGAATGACTATAAATATATATGTAGAAAGTCCAAGGCCATGTTTAAGCTCAAAAGGAGAAACAGATTAAATACAACATTATCGGACCCAAAATCATTTTGGAAAGAGCTCCGATCCATCTCTGGAGGAAATAAGTTATCACCTCAGATCAATAAAGATGTGCGGCTTGATCATTTTAACACAGTTTTTAATAGACCTGTGCTCAGTGATACAGTAACTTGGGAATGTCAAGATGTTAAGGATTGTGTTGAAGATATTGATGCAACTATTCTTGAATGTGAGTTCACTGATTCTGAAATTATATCAGCCTTAGATCATCTAAAAAGAGGTAAATCTCCAGGTAATGACTGTATAATTGTAGAAATGCTTACATGTTCTACACATATTATTTTACCATTTCTTAGAAAACTTTTTAATACATTGTTTCAAAAAGGTGTTTTCCCTGAAAACTGGACTAAAGCAATTATAATTCCTATACATAAAAAGGGTGACCGAAGTAATCCCGATAATTACAGAGGGATTTCCCTTTTAAGTGTACTCAGCAAAATATATACACGGATTCTTCATACCAGACTTACAACTTGGGCTACGATAAGAGATAAAATACCTGAATTTCAAGCCGGTTTTAGAAAAGAGTATTCTACAACAGATCACGTTTTCACCTTAAATGCAATAATTCAGAAATGCTTATCAAGAAAAAAGAAGAAATTATATGTTGCCTTCGTAGATTTTAAGAAAGCTTTTGATTCCGTCTCACGATATAAACTTTGGTACTGTCTTCAAAACTCTGGATTAAATGGCAAAATGTTGGCTGCAATAAAAAGTATATATGTATCTGTTAAAGCATGTGTAAGATGCAACGATAATGTTTATACAGATTATTTTGATTGCCCAGTCGGTCTAAGACAAGGGTGTATTTTAAGTCCACTTCTTTTTTCATTTTTTATTGGTGAACTGTGTACTGATATTGTAGAAAGTGGTAAATTTGGTGTACAGCTGTTTCCTGATTTTTTAGAGATATTGCTATTACTTTTTGCAGATGATGTCATTCTCATATCTGACGTTGCTTCGGGACTACAAAAACAATTGAATATTTTAGAATCATATTCTGATAAATGGGGACTTGAAGTTAACCTCGATAAAACCAATATTGTTGTTTTTAGAAGGGGTGGGCGATTATCAGCTAAAGAAAAATGGTATTATAAAGACTCTGTTATTGACGTTGTGAATTCATATAGATATCTTGGTATTATATTTTCATCCACGTTTAAAATGAATAAATGTACAGACGATCTAGCACTGAGAGGAAAAAGAGCATTATTACAAATATTATATAACTTAAGAAAGATTGATGTGATTGATCCTAGGGTATTCTTTAAAATATTTGATTCACAAATTCAACCAATTTTACTTTATGGTGCGGAAGTATGGGGGGTTAGCCGCTATGAGAATATTGAAAAAGTTCATTTGCTTGCATGTAAGAGATTTCTAAATGTAGGATTACAAACGCCTAATGTTATAATATATGGTGAATGTGGACGATATCCTTTGTATATAAATGCCTTATGTCGAGTTATTAAATATTGGTTAAAACTTACAGAAATGCACTCTGGTAGAATACCCAAAAAATCATATGACATGTCAGTATATTTAGATAACATTGGGCAAAATAATTATGCTTCTCATATTCGTAATATACTTTTTTCACATGGATTTGGCTTTGTATGGTTAGCACAAAGTGTAGGCAATAAGGTTGATTTTCTTAGATGTTTTAAAGATGTATGTGTAAATATGTTTTACCAATCTTGGCATTGTACTCTCGACAACAGTTCACACTACAATTTGTATAGAGAATGTAAGTGTTTACTAGAACCGGAAAAATATTTAAGTGTTATACATGAAAACAAATATCGTAATATTCTTATAAAATTCCGAGCAGGCCTATTACGATTAAAAATAAATGAAGGAAGATGGTTAAATATTGATGTATCTCTACGCACATGTCCTGTTTGTAAACTCGGTATAGAGGATGAATTCCATTTTCTTTTAGTATGCAAATATTATTCTGAAGAAAGATTCTATTTATTTTCCACATATTTACAACCGCATTCCAAATATATTTATATTCAAAAGCCTGCTAACTTCTCCTTCAAATGAAGCATTATTAAATCTATGCAAATTCATATATACTGCTTATAAAAAGAGACAGACTTTGTTAAACTCTTAATTGTTTTACATCATGTTTCCAATATATTTTGATTGTACATATGTTATATGTATATGGGCCGGTGGCCTTCATGCATAATAAAGATCTTTGACTTTGAGGACTTTACTAAGTCCTACGTAGGAGATACTATGTCCTACGTAGGAGATACTAAGTCCTACGTAGGAGATACTAAGTCCTACGTAGGAGATATTAAGTCCTACGTAGGAGATAGCGACCCCAAAACATTTTTTCACCGTGGCCCTACTACGCTTCCGTAGTCAGCAATATCACATCGGGGAACACCAGAAATGGGCTTCACACATTTCACTTATGTGGGGAATCGAACCCGGGCCTTCGGCGTGACGAGCGAACGCTTTAACAACAAGCCTACCCCAACGCCCCTCTTCTGTCTATATACTATCAAGTATTCATACATAATACATAACATATTAGTCTTAGGTTGAATCAGGCCAGATGATCGGCTATTGACATCATACCAGATGTGTTGAAAAACAAAATTGAGTATTACGCTTTCAAACTATAACAGCGGCAATTTAGGGTCTTGAATGAAAAAAAACCCCAACCAATTCCTGATATGAAACAGATTTACCAGTGTTGAGAAACATGCGCCGGACATAGCGCGACTAACAACTCAAGCGTCACAGGTTGCGTGTCAGTGAAAAGCGGACCACTTGAACTCCAGCATTGTGAAATACAATACCTTCACAGAGGACTGCTCTAACCTATACAACATGTAGCGAAAACATGATAGAACTCGGGTACCTAGGCCAGTCAGCGTTATAAATTGCACAGCCAACAAGAAAGGTCTCCACCTTGTACAGCGGGTGTCTCGTACGGTACAGTCCATCTAGATGTTACTTCGACATGGTACAGCCTACCCAGCTGTACAGGGGTTACCCAGACATGGTGCAGTCTACCCAGCTGTACAAGGGTTACCCTGACATGGTACAGTCTACCCAGCTGTACAAGGGTTACCCTGACATGGTACAGTCTACCCAGCTGTACAAGGGTTACCCTGACATGGTACAGTCTACCCAGCTGTACAAGGGTTACCCTGACATGGTACAGTCTACCCAGCTGTACAAGGGTTACCCTGACATGGTACAGTCTACCCAGCTGTACAAGGGTTACCCTGACATGGTACAGTCTACCCAGCTGTACAAGGGTTACCCTGACATGGTACAGTCTACCCAGCTGTACAAGGGTTACCCTGACATGGTACAGTCAACCCAGCTGTACAAGGGTTACCCTGACATGGTACAGTCTACCCAGCTGTACAAGGGTTACCCTGACACAGTACAGTCTACCCAGCTGTACAAGGGTTACCCTGACATGGTACAGTCTACCCAGCTGTACAAGGGTTACCCTGACACAGTACAGTCTACCTAGCTGTACAAGGGTTACCCCGACACAGTACAGTCTACCCAGCTGTACAAGGGTTACCTCCACATGGTACAGTCTACCCAGCTGTACAAGGGTTACCCCGACACAGTACAGTCTACCTAGCTGTACAAGGGTTACCCTGACATGGTACAGTCTACCCAGCTGTACAAGGGTTACCCTGACACGGTACAGTCTACCCAGCTGTACAAGGGTTACCCTGACACGGTACAGTCTACCCAGCTGTACAAGGGTTACCCTGACACGGTACAGTCTACCCAGCTGTACAAGGGTTACCCTGACACGGTACAGTCTACCCAGTCTACCAGCTGTACAAGGGTTACCCTGACACGGTACAGTCTACCCAGCTGTACAAGGGTTACCTCGACACAGTACAGTCACTGCCAGCTGTACAAGGGTTACCCACAGTCTGTACACCCTGACACGGGTCTACCCTGACACAGGGTTACCCCGACACGGTACAGTCTACCCAGCTGTACAAGGGTTACCCTGACACGGTACAGTCTACCCAGCTGTACAAGGGTTACCCTGACACGGTACAGTCTACCCAGCTGTACAAGGGTTACCCTGACACGGTACAGTCTACCCAGCTGTACAAGGGTTACCCTGACACGGTACAGTCTACCTGTACAAGCTGTACAGCTGTACAAGGGTTACCCTGACACGGTACAGTCTACCCAGCTGTACAAGGGCTACCCTGTCACAGTACAGTCTCCAGTCTACCCAGCTGTACAAGGGTTACCCCGACACAGTACTGTCTACCAGCTGTACAATGGTTACCCCGACACAGTACTGTCTACCAGCTGTACAATGGTTACCCCGACACAGTACTGTCTACCAGCTGTACAAGGGTTACCCCGACAAAGTACTGTCTACCAGCTGTACAAGGGTTACCCCGACACAGTACTGTCTACACAGCTGTACAAGGGTTACCGTGACACAGTACTGTCTACCCAGCTGTACAAGGGTTACCCTGATACAGTAGGTTTGCCTGGCCGTGTTAACACACGGAGCATGTTCTCGCGAAAGCTTATTATGTATATCGGCTCAATTAGTTGAATTTACCCTTAATCGTCAAAAGAGATTTTGAAATAACTGGTTCCGTTGATGAGTACGTGGCTATTGAACACTGAGTTAGAATCCTATATTAATGCATTATTCATATAATGGACCAGTGAAGATCCGGGGAAGAACTGATCTTCAGCAACCCGTACTTGTTGTACGAGGGATCGGGAGGTCAGGCTCGCTGACTTGGTATACACATGTCATCGTATCCCAATTGCGTAGATCGATGCTCATGGTGTTGAATACTGGATTGTCTGGTCCAGACTCAGTTATTTTGCAGACCGCCGCCATATAGCTGGAATACTGCTGAGCACGGCGTTAAACAACAACCAACCAACCATACAATGTTGGAAAGGAGAGGGTGGATATTTTTTTATGATGATAGGAATTGGTTCTTTTTCAGGTAACAGGTCTTGCATACGAAGATGAACTGTTGAGACACGATGGCGGATTCGGAGCAGCATGAAACTACAGAAGGGGACAGAGACTGTTCACAAACTGATACAGGTTGGTGAAGATTGCCTTACTTCCTGCCTCGTCCCCTACATGCTTATGTGTTTCAGGACCGCCTCCGTGGTGTAGTGGTTAGAGCGTCCGCCCGGAGAGCGGAAGGTCGCGGGTTCGATCCCCGACCGCGTCATACCAAAAGACGTTAACATATGGTACTTGTTGGTCCCTGCCTGGCGCTCGGCATTAATGGGTACAACAAGGACTGGTCGGCTTGGAGTCAGTATAATGTGTCTGAGTGGGGTATTCATGCTTCACTGCGGTATGGTATCTCAGTGGGCTAGCACTATAAAACCAGCTTCAGACTGGGCTAGTACAAGCAGCCGCACCTACACATACACACGCCTGCACGTCGTCATATGAGCGAAATATTCTCCAGCGCGACGTTAAACCCAATTTCACCTCATCTCACCTTATGTGCAGAGTGAAGGTTTTGCAATAGGGTCGATCGTCTTCTCTAACCTCACACACAGTTTCTCATCACATCGCCAGAAACCACCAATTTAAGCGTCTGGCACATTTACAGCTACCTAAGTTCAGTCCAAGGCTGCCGTCAGTCGTCTAACCCGCTCAGCCAACGCGGCTTCCACAAAATGGAAGTCGGACAACTGTTAGTCTAGACCACGGACGTTGTGTCTCCCTCTGATAAGTGTAAATTGGCACGGCTCTCACGGCCGATAGCTGTGAATACACAAACCTTGTGTGCTGGCGATTAGGTGCCTGATTCTCAGGGTGTGGGTTCGAATCCCAGATGGGGCTCAACCCAACAAAAGTACTTGAATTGTACTTAAAATGTAATCCCACATATAACATGTGTTACACCTTCTTTGCTGGTCTACCCGCTCCCGTCTGCATCCAGGTCCACGAATCCACTATGGCTCTCCACGGTAATTGCTCCTTGACTTGAGGGTAGGGTGCTTCTAGAACTGTTTGTTTTTGCACATCAAGTCTCCCAGACACATCTCCGCCTCTAGGCTGATATCCCGTCTTGTAGATTCTATGAACCGTACACAATCATTCTTGAATAAGTCTTACCTATTTACATTCGATCATGTTACAGTAGTGGAAGAGCAGTCTGATGTCCCAAGTGTGTCCTCTGCTCTTGTCAGTGACGTGACCACACCAAAACAGGTTGTCGGCAGCAGTGGTAAGTGTGTTTGTAGCAGGTCGATGGGAAAGCATTGGCTCACATGTACAGGTTACAAGATGTACAACATTCCTTAGAAACCCGTTTAAGATATCTGGTATCAAAGATGTGAGATCAATTCCGTTATCGTCTACCCTTTAGTAATGGATTATGGCTTTCCGGAATCTAATTTATTGATAGGTTAGTCGAGGTTCGGATGACCTGGACTGACTGGTCGAAACGTTATAATTTAGAGTGCTTATAGGTATATCCTTTTAGCACGGGTTAACCTTATTGGTCATGTGGACACTGCGCCCGACTTTGGATCAGAAGGTCCGTGGTTCGAATGCCAGCATGGGAATATTAATGGCTTCTACACTTGTATCAGTAGAGTTGAGTAGTTCTCCCTGAAAGTTCATTCATTAAGGGTGAGCTTCTGAACCTATGCTGTTTCTTCTGGATCCAGGAGCCCAGGGATCAGTGCCAGCCCCCAAAGATGACTCTACAGTGCCCAAACAGGTTGAAGGTAATAGCTTACCGATATATCTTGACGTACTGATTTGTGTGACTATTTGGGTTGGGCATTACTACGAAAGAAATGAATAATGATAATTAAAATATTCCGATAACTAAGTACTATTCTATTCTTTATTTATAGCTCCTGTAAATACAGAATGTATTTGTTCCTGACTGTCGGTGTCTGGTGTATCAGGATATGCTCCAGTGTGCATACTACTGTTTTCTCTTCAGATACTGGAGGAAGTATACCCAGTCCCATATGTGGCACAGATGACCAGACTCAAGCACTGCCAAGAGCAACGGTAGTAGCTCTTAAACATCCTACCTTTGACTCATTTTGTACCATTTTTTATCAATACTTATACACATGACAAAAAGTACCGTAACGCTCATAAGTTTTAACCCCCAAATGATGAAAGTTATATTCATATCCTAATTATGATTGTTTGAATGATTATTTGACCCTTCGGGTGCACCATACGTTGAATTTGCAACGATCAAAGGCGAGTACCACGTGCAACCCTGTACCCGTCATTATACAATTCTTACAGTTAGATAACTTTGAAAACCAATTGATTTCGTTATTGAAAAAGCGAATATCGTTCCTCCTAATATGACAACTGTTCAAAGGTTGCAAGTTATGGTATGCGGAATACTGGAATGTCATTGAGGGTTATTGTAAGAGAAGTTGGTTGTCATCCATCGTCTCTCAGCCGATTGGCCAGAAAACATCAGCAAACTAATGACGTCAAGGACCATCAGGTCACGAGTGACAGCTTATTGAGGGATTCAGCTCTTAAAGGGATACAACGCTTTTCAGAATCCCAAGACTTCATCCGTCCATGTCAAGTGGCATGTTAAAAACAGATTGGCTTACACATCGATGTTTGTCCAACAGAACGGTCCGAAATCGCCTATAATCGGCCGGGTATAGTTCCAGACATCACATCAGATGTCCGTAGTTATTCCCAGAGCACAAGTCAGCACGACTAGCTTGGTGTCAGCCTCGAAATCACTGGAATTTGAGGTCATAGGGAAGGGTCCACTGTTTGAACAAGACAGAAACACTGTATATTGTCGATTTCTTACGTCAAGTAACAGCTCTGCCTTGATCCTCAAGACGTCCCGATCTCAGTCCCATAGAGCTTGTTTTGGACATTATGGGGCCCAGAATACCCAAGAGAGACCCTCCCGTACAAAACCTTGCCAAAAACCATATTATCAGCACTACAAAATGTATAAATTCTTTGTCACGTTAGTTTATCTGAAGGGGCGGCGGGGTAGCCTAGGGGTTAAAGCGTTCGCTCGACGTACATCAGCCCCACATTGTTACCATGTATAAAGTCCAAATCTAGGTTATGCCTCCAATATCTTGTCTCTTTTGCAACACAATGCAAACCACATAGGTTAGGCATAGCTAGGTTATGTAGAACTTTGGCGATATCACGAAATATTGCTACACGGGTGAGTGAGTTTTATATATACTCATAGCCAAATATATAACAGCCATATATAGCAAGTGTTAACAGGATATTCAGTTGAAAATATCTGTCGACAAGACACTGGAATAATAAGGAATACCATAGTTCCAGAAAATATATTATCAAAAGTTAGAACACAGATAGTCGTAAACGTTGACGTGTGTGCTGCTATCTCATATGTTTATAATGTTTATCCATGTGATAGAACATTCAGTAGATTTTAAAATTTTGATCAATACGTTTTCCCCCTATATTTGCATGTCAATAGATACTTGTGACGTGTATTTATGGTATGTGGACAACATATGTCTGTCTTTTTCTGCACATTATGTAATATCCTTACCAATTCTTGATGAGACTTCTGTTTGGTTTCAGAACGTCTCCGCTATTCCCCAATCACCCAAGAGCATTTACATGGTTGGATGCACAAATATTCAGCTTGAACTAGTCACAGGTTGGTACATATAAGTTGTATGCGTCTCTCGAGGGTAATACGGTCTGATGTACAGCTCTTTGTAGCAGTGTCACCCGACCCGGTAGGTCGTATTTATCTTACCGCCATGTTAAATTTCCACAATATCATTTTATTTATTTTAAAGATCGCTACCGACTATGACATGTAAACAAATTGGCGTCTGCCCCTTGACTGGATTTTTTAAATCAGTGAAACATATTCTGACAAGGTTAACACTGCTATAAAAATAGTTAATTATGTTTAAGTTGAGTGTGCAAGTACAAAATAGTTTAAATAGTAAGTGAGTGAGTTTAGTTTTACGCCGCACTCAGCAATATTCTAGCTGTATGGCGGCGGTCTGTAAACAATCGAGTCTGGACCAGACAATCCAGTGATCAACAGCATGAGCGGAGCACCTTTAGAATACAGCACCACAACTTCTCGTGAGGACGATCTCTGCCGTAGGTCACGTGTCATTAAGACAAGCAACCAGTTTGTGAGAACCCGTCGGACGCGAACCCGCGACCTTCGGATTGTTAGCTCGACAGCTAACCGACTGAGCTACGTCCACACTGTTGCACACTGTGCAAATTTATCGAGTCATTCCTGTGACGTCACGGAAATGAACGGAAAGAGTCGAATAGGTCACGGACAATTACGAATGCTACGGGTAGACTTGGTGTCATGCGATTTTATTCTACGGACAGTTGCCGAATGGATCCGATGCCATTTGGCACACTCGTCCCATTCCGTAATCTACAAATTAACGTGTGGCGTGGAATGAGCCGATATGTCTCAAACGGAAAAGGGTTGTTGACGTCAGGCGTCAGACGTAGATTTCACGGTGTATGCATGAATGACGCGCTTTTATATAAATCTGTGATTTTGTGACAGAAAAGTGATGTAGGGAACACTGTAAGGATAATGTGGATCGCAATAAGGAACAAGGGAGACATGAGCATGTGTAGTGACGGCACGAGGGTGAGTTAGCCTTCGAATCATTACTTTACAAAATTTATGTTGCGTGTGAAAGAGGCTTCAGTGCAAATTCCAGGCCAATTTCCATTAGCCCAAAATTTCTACATTAACCCATTTCATAATGTACTTTCGACGTTTTTGGTTTCCCGTTTTTGTGTGAAAAAAAAGTATTAAAATGCAAAAAAGAAAAACAACAAATGGTACTCACGTATTACACCGGACATGTACCTACTATATTGGATTAGGTCCCTAACCCTAAACCCTAAACCCTCAGCCCTAACCCTAACCCTAACCCCTTGAAATAATCCTAATAAATAGAATGCATTGACCGAACCACCGGACATTAGGTAATTATATTGACACCTACTATTAAATGTATTCCGGACAAATGTACTTATTAAATGTAACAATTTGTGCATTAGTCGTACCTACTATATTGCATTAGGTCCCCAACCCCAACCCCAACCCTAACCCTAACCCTAAACCCTAATCCTAGCCCTAGACCCAGCCCTAGCCCTAACCCTAATCCCTTGAATTACTCCTAATAAATAGAATGCATTGACAGAACCGGCACAAACACGACTGGCGTGTCTCGTGTAATGCATTATTACCGCTTCGAAATAAAAAATACTAATAAAACACTTTTTCTGTGTAATGGTGCAACTTACTGAATGACAAAAATATATATGTAAATTTAAAAAATTACAAAATACAAAATACACAACACTTAACACCCCAGCAGCCCGTAATACAAATAAATATGAGCGGATTAGTGAAAAAAGAAAAATATTTCAAACTGGTGCTTGCAAAATATTGCGCATCCGCCGGTATACAACTACTGGAAACTCTCAACATCGTTGGCCTTATGCAATGACATAGCTCGTAGAGATGAAACACCAGTGAGCGGAGCTTATACGCACTCGCTGAGCCAGACAACCGTGTTGCCATGCAGGCGTCATAGGGCATTGTTTCGAGATCGTGCTTTCGAACAAAATCACATTACATTACGTAAAAGGGTATTATGACGTATTTTTAAAGTTTGTGGTGCTGTATTCTAAAGGTAGGTTTAGATCTGCGCAATTGGGAACCGAGCCTGACCACCCGATCCCATTAGTCGCCTCTTACGACAAGCATAGTCGCCTTTTGTTGCAAGCATGGGTTGCTGAAGACCTCTTCTATCCCGGATCTTCACGGGTTAGTTTAAATAAAGCAGTGAAAGTCGGTAAAATAGATGTGTACATAGTGAACTCAAAAACAGCTAATCGAACGGTTTTCGAACTCCGGACACTGCATGCGTGATATTATGACGTCATACGATTGTTAGCGACACAGCTTCTCGGCGGAGAGTTTGTCGGTTACCGTGGCAGCTGGTAACATTTTTTCCAGTTGTCACCCTCCTGGGAGGAGTGACACGGAAACTTATTAAAGCGTCATTGACCAATGAAATTAAAGTATTTTACATGACGGTAAGATAAAGACTAATGTTTGATTTGGTCAAATACAATTTTCAGATCACTATTTTCTTTAGCTCAGAACTACATGACTGGTGAACAGTCAAACACTGTTATGTCCAAGTACGTAAAAACCTCAAGTTATCTGATGTTCGACACAACCGTGGAATGATAACTAAAAAGGAATACGCCAAGACTGTTTTGTTATTATAGGATATTTATATAGCGCACATATCCAGGCAACTAGTGCATGCTCAAGGGGCTGGAATTTTTTCGGAGCACCTTTAGAATACAGCACCACAACTTCTCGTGAGGACGATCTCTGCCGTAGGTCACGTGTCATTAAGACAAGCAACCAGTTTGTGAGAACCCGTCACCTTCGGGATTGTTAGCTCGACAGCTAACCGACTGAGCTACGTCCACACTGTTGCGCGATGTGCAAATTTATCGAGTCATTCCTGTGACGTCACGGAAATTAACGGAAAGAGTCGAATAGGTGACGGACAATTACGAATGCTACGGGTAGACTTGGTGTCTCGTGATTTTATTCTCTGGACAATTGCCGAATGGATCCGATGCCATTTGGCACACTCGTCCCATTCCGTAATCTACAAATTAACGTGTGGCGTGGAATGAGCCGATATGCCTCAAACTGAAAAGGGTTGTTGACGTCAGGCGTCAGACGTAGATTTCACGGTGCATGCATGAATGACGCGCTTTTATATAAATCGGTGATTTTGTGACAGAAAAGTGATGTAGGGAACACTGTAAGGATAATGTGGATCGCACTAAAGAACGAGGGAGACATGAGCATGTGTAGTGACGGCACTCGGGTGAGTTAGCCTTCGAATCATTACTTTACAAAATTTATGTTGCGTGTGAAAGAGGCTTGAGTGCAAATTCCAGACCAATTTCCATTAGCCCAAAATTTCTACATTAAACCATTTCATAATGTACTTTCGACGTTTTTGGTTTCCCGTTTTTGTGTGAAAAAAAAGTATTAAAATGCAAAAAGGAAAAACAACAAATGGTACTCACGTATTACACCGGACATGTACCTGCTATATTGGATTAGGTCCCCAACCCTAACCCTAACCCTAAACTCTAAACCCTCAGCCCTAACCCTAACCCTAACCCTAACCCCTTGAAATAATCCTAATAAATAGAATGCATTGGCCGAACCACCGGACATGTACCTACTATATTGCATTAGGTCCCAAACCCCAACCCTAAACCCTAACCCTAACCCTAGTCCCAGTCCTAGTGCTAGTCCTAGCCCTAGCCCTAGCCCTAGCCCTAACCCCAATCCCTTGAATTAATCCTAATAATTAGAATGCATTGACCGAACCGGCACAAACACGACTGACGTGTCTACTGTCTAGTGTAATGCATTATTACCGCTTCGAAAAATGAAATACTAATAAAACACTTTTCTATGTAATGGTGCAAATTACTGGATGACAAAAATATATATGTAAATTAAAAAAATTACAAAATACAAAATACACAAAACATAACACCTCAGCAGCCCGTAATACAAATAAATATGAGCGTATTAGTGAAAAAGAAAAATATTTCAAACTGGTGCTTGCAAAATATTGCGCATCCGCCGGTATACAACTACTGGAAACTCTCAACATCGTTGGGCTTATGCAATGACATAGCTCGTAGAGATGAAACACCAGTGAGCGGAGTTTACACGCACTCACTGAGCCAGACAACCGTGTTGCCATGCAGGCGTCATAGGGCATTGTTTCGAGAACGTGCTTTGGAACAAAATCACATAACATTACGTAAAAGGGTATTATGACGTATTTTTAAAGTTTGTGGTGCTGTATTCTAAAGGTAGGACATTTTTTCCCTCGATCAATGGATGTCAGTCTCAACGGCACATCGTATTATCAATCTCAACTCCCTGGAGAGTATTCAACTCTTGCAGCCACTAGGCGCACCGACTTATTGTGGCTTTCCATCCTAACGAGGTATCAATTCACAACTGGCAGGACTGGGACACATAGTCACAGTACTTTGTCCAAGTTTACTGCACGTTGCTGTACCCGCAACTAGGTGTTTGCACATATTCATGTGGCCACCATCTGGTCATATATCAACGGATTCGTGGGTTCTTCTAAGTGCACAGGGTTGTGTATTGTACACTAGGGGTTGTGACAACAATGAAAGAGTCTGCACACAAAGTTGACTCCAAGGTTTTTACACCCGGTCACAGGTGGGCTCGATCCCGACACCTCAACCTCGCTGGATCACTAGCCTGGCGCCTTAGCCAGCTCGCCAACTGCGCCACCAGCTCGCCAACTGCGCCACCAGCTCGCCCACCACGCTCCCATCTCGCCGAACACGCCCCCATTTCGCCCACCACGCCCCCATATCGCCCACCGCGCCACCATCTCGCCCACCACGCCCCCAGCTCGCCCACCCCGCCCACCATCTCGCCCACCGCGCCCCCAACCTCGCCCCATCTCGCCAACGGCGCCCCAGCTCGCCCACCGCGCCCCAATCTCGCCCTGCGTGCCACCATCTCGCCCACCACGCCTTCATGCGCCCACCGCCCCCATCTCGCCCACCGCGCCCCATCTCGCCCACCGCGCCCCAGTCTCGCCAACCGCGCCCACCAGCTCGCCCGCCCACCGCCCACCAGCGCCACCGCGCCACCAGCTCGCCCACCGCCCACCGCGCTACCACCAGCACGCCCACCGCGCCACCAGCACGCCCACCGCGCCACCAGCTCGCCAACCGCGCCACCAGCTCGCCCACCGCGCCACCAGCTCGCCCACCGCGCCACCAGCTCGCCCACCGCGCCACCAGCACGCCCACCGGGCCACCAGCTCGCCCACCGCGCCACCAACTCGCCCACCGCGCCATCAGCACGCCCACCGGGCCACCAGCTTGCCCACCGCGCCACCAAGGCTGAACCTATACTTCGAGACAATCATACATGCGACACACTAGAGTTCTACAAAAGGTGTGCAGTTCACATATATGATGTATATTTTATTATGATCACTTATGATATCATTGTCCTATACCTATATTTCTTTCTCATATCAGGTTTGGGAGGAACGAACCAGCAGGCCATAACAACAGTGAGTTGTATAATATACTCAGACAAGTCAAATACTTGCTTCACTAAATATACTCCACAAGTAAACACCTACTGTTGGGAGCTCCTGACCCCATGTGTCGCAAACGTAATGCATTTCTAACTTCCTTCATAACTGGTGAAGAAATCTGAAAAATATATAATCAGTTAGAAAAGGTGATTCTTTAACTGGACTTTCAAAGGCGCCAAGCCATGCTATTCCACCATAACAGTTTCTTATGTGACCAATAAACATAAGTTATCTCTGTCAAAACAAGAAACCTAAAATTCTGGAAACTTTTATATAGACTTAAAACTACATCATCTCAGAAGGAATCTATTTAATCCCGATCCTGAAGAGCTAACAAACCACTTCACTTATATTTGCAACATTAAAAGAAACATATCTTCTCCGAACACTCTGCAGAATTCTTCTAGGCATGAACCTACTGTCAAGGAGAAGATAATGTACATACAGAAGTTTTGAAATAGGTTGCACATAGATAGACTAGTTGCTAGATAGACTAGTTGCTTAAACGGTTAAATAATAAGGCGTTAAACAAGGTTGCCTTCAATGGTCTCTAGAATTATACTGAACCACAAAATAAACGTCGCCTTTCAAAACCAAATGCAAAATTTTGTTCTTACAAGGTGGTGTTTTTATTATGATTGCACCGTTTTGTTAAATAGTTTTTCAATCCAAATTGATAGCTATTACCAACATCAGTGTGTTTTCTGATGAAATAGCATATCGACCAAACGCACCGAAAAAGGCAGACACGGTAAAAGGTTCGATGTGACATTCGTGAAAATGAAAGTGCACGTGCATGTCGAGACAACCCTACCAATGAAAGCGAGTCCCAAACTCGCCTGAAATCATTCCTGTTTTGACACAATCACCATGCCACGACTTACGAGAGATCAGAGGAACCAAGTCTTTGGACCATTGCAAGTTGGCCAGACTGCACGGATGGTAGCCAATCATTTCAATGTTCATGTTAGGACAATCTACCGACTCAAGGAGCGGTATCAGGTCACTAACAGCACCCAAGACAATCCACTCAGTGGACAATCTTCAGTAACATCACAACGTCAAGACCGACATATTGTGCGCAACCATCTGCATGATCGCTTCCCGAGGGCGACGGAAACAGCACGCCAGACCATTGGGACCTATCAGTGCCGATACAGTGAGTCGACGTTTGCGTGGAAGAAACCTCTGCTGTCACAGATTATATCGTAGTCCTGTCCCCACCGCTCATCACCGCCAAAACCGACTGCATCGAAATTGGCGTTATCGACAATGGAAAAATGTGCTTTTATCTCATGAAAGCCGATATTGTGTTCCTACAGTCGAAGGCAGAGTGAGAGTATGGCGAAGGCGTCTGGAACTGTTTTCCAATGAGCGTATTGTTGAAAGAGACTCGTGGGGTTGTCCAAGCACCATGGTGTGGGGTGCAATAGATCTGAACCAGTTAGATGACACCGTGGTGTTCCAGAATCCTATTCCAGGATGAGGAAATGATGTGGCAGCTGCTTGCTATATTTACCAAGTCATAAGACCCCACGTTGTACCACATTTTGGACGTTACAGAAATCACATCTTCCAATAAGACAACGCTCGTGCCCACACTGCCAGAGCAACATTGGACTTCCTAAGACAACATGGCATCCAAACCCTACAATAGCCTGCACTCAGTCTGGATTTAAATCCAATCCAATAGATTCAAAGAAGACTGAATGACCTCCAACCAAGGCCGACAACTGCGGCTGGACACGATCAGGCATTTTGCAGATTATGGTCCCAAGTGCCTGAGGTATTCATCAAGTGGCTAATTTATTCCATGTACAGACGATGCAACGCTTTCATACATGCCCATGGAGGCCACACACAATACTGACTTAGGGCTATCTCAATGGTACCATGTTTGGCGATTTTGTTTGTGTGAACTCTAAATGTGATTTCCGGAAATGTCTTAACCATAGTTGTCAAGTTTGAACTCAATCCTCCGTTTTGATTTTTAATTAGAGGGAATTATAGTGTGTGCGTTAAGAAACCGCCATCGGTGCGATATTTCCTTTGTGGTTCAGTATATTTCATACCTCACGGTTATGATAGAACATGTTCTGAAAACATATACTGAGTCAAAAAAGAAACTTCACATTCTTTCTTCAGGGCACCATAAAAGAACAAGAGATGGTAAGATGGTTAAATTGTTATTATTTCATTGCTGAGATCTGTGTGATGTACTCGATACACTGACAGTGACATATTCAGTTCCATTAGGCTACACCGCCGTTCCAAAGCATGGGTATACAGAATGTCAAGTCACAAGAATAAAAATGCGAAATTTCTCAGTTCAATATCGTGTATGGCCGCCCCGCGCATTCACCACTGCCAAACACCGTCTCCTCATCGACTGCCTGATGGTTGTGAACACGTGGTTGGGGATTCTGCGCCATTGCTCTTGCAAGGCAGCGCCAAGTTCCTGCAAATTCTGAGGTTGGTTCCTAAGACCACGAAGCCTTCTCCCAAGTGCATCCAAAACGTGCTCTATTGGATTAAAGTCAGGGGACCTCGATGGCCAGTCCATGACGTTGATTCCAGCATTTTGAAGGAAATTTCGTGTCAACATCGCGGTATGTGGAACTGTAGACCTGGGCCATGAGCCGCCATGAAAGGAACGAGTTCAGGGGTGAGCACCTGGTCGCGGTAAGCAGCAGCTGTGAGGTTTCCACGGATGACCAGAAGTCGGGAACGTTTGTTCCCACACAAAGCACCCCACACCATGCAACTTCCGCCCCCGAATCTGTCTACTTCCTGTACACAACATTTGGCATACCGTTAACGACGTCGTCTCCAGACTCTTTGTCTGCCGTCCGCGAATCTGAGGGTTAACCTGGATTCATCACTAAAGACGACTCGATTCCAGTCTCTCTGGGTCCATCGGAGGTGACGTTGGGCCCACAGCAGACGTTGACGTTTATGAAACGGCGTCAATATTGGCCCACGATATGGACGTCGAGAATGGAGATTGGCAGCCCGCAGCCGATTTCGAATGGTCTGTGAGGACAGTCGACCTCTAAACATCTCAGCCCTGGTTCGTGTAGCCGGCAGAAATCTGTCACGTAGGTGACGTAGGACGATGTGACGGTCTTCTGCTCGTGACGTCACACGTGGACGACCCGACCTTGGGCGATCAGAAGTGGTGCCAGTTTGTTGTAGACGACCTCGCAAGTCATACACAGTATGACGGCTGCATCCCATTGCTCTTGCGACGTCAATAACTGATCTTCCCGTTTGCAACATCCCAACGGCTCGTTCACGTTGCACTTTTGACAATCGTGGCATTTCAAGTACCGTTAGAACTGTGGTTTAAAAGTGTTTTTTCAATTCTTGAGGCCAATGCAAATACGTGCATATGAAGAAAACTTCGATGCGAAGATCACGTGATCGACTGCACGTGCTAAACCTGATTTGGCACTAACGTCATTTGCACGACGAATGGATTGGTTTGAGTGGGTTTTGATAACGTTTTTCTAGAGTCGAAAGATAGGGATCCCATTTCGGATACATAGATGTATCATTAGAGAAAAATTATTCATTATTTTTCAAATAACATTTTGTGAAGTTTCTTTTTTGACTCAGTATATTTGTCATGACTATGATCCCCTTACCCCAAAATCTAAACGCGTTACCTGATGTTCTAGTCTATATATATATTATATTTTATGCATAACCGGGGCGATGGGGTAGCCTAGTGGTTAAAGCGTTCGCTCGTCTCGCCGAAGACCTGGGTTCGATTCCCTACATGGGTACAATGCGTGAAGCCCATTTCTTGTGATATTGCTGGAATATTGCTAAAAAGCGGCAGGCGGGCGAGTGTCTTGCTGTTTTGTGAGATGATCCAGTCATGTACTTGTCCCATTCAATACATAAATACAGATCCAGAAATTCTTTACTGGAATAATCTACTTCCCAGAAGCATCCATATAACTCTTTACTCCCTGCCTAAATGTAAAAACACATCTGCGGGCATCTGCTGAACGTAACAGGAACTATTTAGTACAGTCACATATATCATTCCCAATGGAGTACTCTGCCATATAACAGTATTGATAGAAACCATTCAGGTAATGATATCATCAGCATTCCCCCTAATCAACCTATGACCTTTTCAATAAATTTATTAAGATTTGTATTTTTTTATATTGCTGTCAAACGATAGATCTCAGCGGTTGCCAATGGTGTTGTGTTCTTGTGTTCTAACATATAGCTAGAAAATAGAGTATCAAAACCCATTTCATAATCAAAACAGTCCATTGTCAAGGGATTTCGAAAACGTCAAAAGCATGTTTTGTTCAATGAATCATTACCTAACAACGATGATACCAGATTTATTTAAGTGAGCCTATCCTGCCCCACAAGTGGTACCCATCACGGACACATGCAGGAATCCTAGAGTCTAACATAAAACTAACTGTTGCCATTCATTCTTTTTAAAAAACCCATGATTTGTGTAGTAATGTCCCAGTCCATTTGTATTTCCAGCCCGAGTACAGACCAAACTGTGTTCTGACTGAAGGGGAACCGCTCAACATTGTGCTTGTTGGTAAAACGGGTAATGGAAAAAGTGCCACAGGAAATACAATTTTCGGGAAACATCAACTTTTCAAGTCTTCACCTGGCACAAAATCTCAGACAAAGACGTGCCAACTTGAACATGGACTTGTAGCAGGACGAGAAATATATCTGGTTGATACACCCGGTAATATGGATACAAGGCATCCGAAAGAATGCTTGCAGGCGATTGGTTCTGCTATTTATATGTGTCCAGATGGGTATGATGCTGTACTACTCATTCTAAGATTTGGCAATCGTATGACAGAGGAAGAAAGAAATGCTGTTCGTGAAATACGAAAGCTCTTTGGGCAAGACATATTCTCCAAATATGTTGTGATAGTGTTCACATATGGCGATAATTATGACAGTGAAGAACCATTTGGAGACTTTATATTTGAAGATGCTGACGGTTTCTTACAGAATCTGATCACTGAATGCAAACACCGGGTTGTACTGTTCAACAATAGATTCAAATACGCTGAGGCTGAATTGGAATCGTTCCATCAGGTGTCAAAACTTATGGAAATCATTGACCAGCTCTGGAGATGCAACAATGGCATAAAGTACAATAATGACTTTTTTAAAGATGCCAAGGCGTTGCATTTGGGAATAGAGGAAACTGACAAGTCTTTGTGGGAGCAGTTGTATAAAGAACAGGCAGAGCTTGATGAACAATTGCAGACTGACCAAAAAGCCAAGCTTAAGAAAGGAGAGACTGAGAACTTTAATAAAATGAAAGAGATCAAAGAGCAACAGTTTTTAAAAGTTGAACACTTTGGGTGGAAGTTGAATGATATCATAAAGAAAGAACAAGATGAATCTGAAACAAAGTTGAGGGGTGTACTGTCGATGCACATTGAACAATGGCAAAAGGCTTGGGTACAGGAAGTTGAAGATATTTGTGAAAACAATGAACGAAAGTTTTCTGCATTACTGGAGAAAGACCAAGAACTGAAGTTAGAACTGGACACAGACAATGACATGAGAACTTCAGAAGAAGAACTAACAGCATTATTTGCTTCAAGCGCTCACAGTGATGGAAACTTGAAAGAATGTTGGAACGAATTCCGGGAGAAAGTAAATGAAAAGAAGAAATCCAGCATGATGATGTGGGAAAGTAAGGTACACGAGGTGTTTGGCAAAAAGGTTAAAGGACTAAGGGGATTTACAAAGAATACAGTTTCAGAATTAGAGAATGAGTGGTTACAGGATATGGAACAGAGAAGTGCTGAACACCTTTTAGACACTGATAAGCTCATTTCTGAAAAGAAAGAAGGTGTCTTGGAGAGAGTGAAGGCCATGTTTGAGGCCAAAACACACCTGGATAACTGGAGGGACGAAATGGATACTGTCCAGGATGGCGAGGAGCTACAATGCAGAAACAGCATTACTGATATTCTCTCTGAAAGAAAAGGACGAATTGAAGAAATGATCAATGAGATACGTAAACGGAATGAAGAAGAATGGCAGAAAAAGCTTGATGCTATATGGAGTGACAAGTACAAAGAAATGCAAAAGTCATTGGTTCAAGAGAAATATTACCGAGAAGAAAAGTGGAAGCTCGACACACAAAAAGAAATTGGATCATATTTGACTGAGATACAGGCTAGGTTCAAGAGAGAAGTGAAGACTAGACAGATTGATGACATAATGACCCCGGTCCAACAGAAAATGACATGTGATCGGGAGCTTCTACTTCAAAGGCTATCAGACACATTGACAAGCGGAAGCAAAACGTATGAAGAAAAATGGTATGAAACCACTGGAAGCCAGACTCTTCTTTCAATGAATCTGAAGAGTGAGGATCGATTGCAGCAGTCTATGATGCAGAACACACTGGAACAAAGACACATATCCATGAACAGATGGAGAAATACAGCAAGGACCACTACTGAGTGTCAGACAAGAAAATTTAAACAATGTTTGAATAACATATACTGTGACTCCAACAGAAAGTGGACACAAGCGTTGAAAGAAACATTATTGACCCAAAGTCAGTCATGGAAACAAAAACTGCGCCAGGTAAATCAAGAATATGATGAAGTTATGAAGAGACAGATTGATGAAACGCTCAAAAAGAAACTTTTAAAGCGGAATGAATTGCTACATGACTTCACTGAATATGAAGAACAATGGAAATCTAACCTTGAACATATCAGGTATGAATTTGAAACCAAATGGAAAGAAATGATTAAACCACTTTCCAGAAATGTTGATTTCAGGATCAGCGAAGGAGGATATAATCAGGGTTAAACAGGCATTCGAGGAAAAGATGTACTTCAATCGAAATGACCAAGAACAGGAATGGCTTACAGAAGAACAAAATCTGGTTGAAAACATGACAGAAAACCTTAGGAAGAGGCTGTCAGACAGGCGAGGCGCTCAGGAGGAGCAAGACAAGGAATGCATGGAGGCTGAAATACGCAAACACACAGCAACCTTAAAAAAGGAGATGGATATATATGTTGAAGAAGTATACAAATACTGGCGAGATGTATTTGATGGTGGCATGGAGAAGAAACTAAGGGACATAAGGCATTTAGTTGGAGAGTACCAGGCAGCAAACATGAAAACTTGGAAAGAAGATGCTGAGCGAAACGTCTCTGACATCATTTCAAACTGGACTCGGGAAATGATGGACATACTGAAAAATAGGGAAAGTGAGTGGAATCAGGCCATCGAACGGCTGTGGTTAGAGAAGGTATGGCAACTGAAGATTGAGCTAAGGACATTGCAGTCCCACTCCAGAAGAGAGATAGAAAGTATCACCTACAGAAAGCTGAAGATATCTTCTGAGGAACTGAACCAAACTCTTAAAAGGAAACGCCAAAACTTGGAGGCGATCTGGAGTGATCATAATATGATGGACCTCAATACCATGATGGAGGCGGCTCTAGACAAAGCCAAACTGGCTTCAGATCAGATGATGCAAGAGACAATTTATGAAATCACATCCAAAAGAAAACTTGAAGAGCAGAGATGTGAACTAATGATAAAACACGAGCGGCTGACCAGTCAAAGGAAGCAACTTGACGAGAAATGTCTACAACATTTTGGCAAAAGGTTTGCAGAGATAAATGCTTGTTTCCCAGTCGAGTCTTTGGTTCAGTTATCCACAGGACAAATAGTCTCCCTGTCAGAGGTCAACATAGGTGACAGACTCCTTTGCTGTGATGAAAAGGGCATGCTTGTGTACAGCCCAGTGTATCGTTTTGGTCACAGACAGCACTATGGAAACAATACATTCGTGGAAATATCAACAAAATCAAAGAAGCTGAAAGTTTCTCCAAATCACCATGTGCACATTGGAAAGTCTGTCTGCAGGAAAAACACTAAAGCTGCAATAGCTATAGAAGTTGGTGATGCTGCTCTTGTGTTAGGGGAGGAAAGAAGACTGGTATCCGAGGAAGTCCTTTCTGTCACCTTGACAACTGGAAGAGGTCTGTGCGCCCCCTATACATTGTGTGGAACCATAGTGGTTGATGGAATGCTTGCCTCCTGCTATGTGGACCGTGTTGCACCTTCTCTGGCGCACAAGCTTCTGGCACCCGTTAGAACTTGGTACAGACTGTTTGCTCCAGGTGCCTCTACTATTGCAAGGAAGATGAGTCCTGAACATGTTTGCTTCCCGAGAGGCCCCTGCTCCATTGCAGAAGAGAGAACTGTCAGGAAAAACAAAGGGGATAGAGTCTTAAAGGTGATAGTTGAGATAGATGAGTTTCTTCCTTTCATTATGTCTCTATAATTTAAATGAAAGGAAGTATGAAAATTATTTCTTTAAGCACCGTTAAGTATTCGATTTCAGGCAAATCTTGTGACAGCAAGCGCTTACCCTTTTCGCGAACGTCGTGAGTCAAAAACTGATTTCCAGAGATCCATATATATAATTTTAACAGCTAGGTTTCCTTTACACCAAACAGAATTTATTTCTGAGAATAGTCGTCTTATATTTACTTGGGCTGAAAACAGAAAATAACTAAATGCTTTGTTCCATTATATACTGACTGATTTGCAACCTTTTTAGCATAACTGTTAACATGTAAATACATGCCCTGTAATGTATCTGCCATAACATGTCTTTATACTTCATATCAACTCCATAAATATGTATTTAAATTGTCTGACTTCATATATTTTCTTTATTGTTTGTATTTCAGATATCTGATGATAACACACCTTCTGGAAGTTAAACAAGAACGTCCTGGAGAATCCTGAAGGCTAATTTCATTGGTGTATTTACCACATATTAGCTACCTGCATGTGAAATAGGAGTGAGTGAGTGAGTTAAGAATTAACGTCACGCCGGCAATATTTCAGCCATATCGTGACGAGAACATATTTGACATTGAAATGGAACATGTGTATATTATATAAACCTGTCGTCAAAGGACAGTAAAACAACAAGAATATCCCAATTAGAATTAAAACTAGCGTGGAAGGTAAAACCAATAGCACTATTTGGACAATACAATATAAAAACAGGCTATAGATCGCCAACAACTGAAGGTAGATCACCATACTAGGAACCATGGGGACTTACAGTACCTTTGCTACCTGCATGGACCCTAGTTGGATTTACACCCTTCAGCTGCTGGCGATTGTAAGAAATGTTAGCCAAAAATAAAATAACAAGAATACTACGTTTAAAAATCCTGGTAAGTTTAAATTGACTTTGAAAATTTGGGGACTTACGTACCTGTGAAATAGGAATCTGTTTGTATTCAAAATGGCTCTGTCAATTATTCTGTAGTCAATATGCATATGGCAAATTACAAAGAACGTCGCTAAGGCGTCATTTGTATTTCATTTCATGTGACTTGTGTGTTGGCAGTCGAACGGTCTTCTGTTCGCATTTTGCGTACATGAAATGTCCATATTCCCCCCTGGACGTTTACTCAGTACCCACCAGATCACAAGCCAACAATGCTTAAAGCGCCTTCATTTCATTGTATTTCATGAAGATGTACCATTTTGTACTGAACTAGTTTGGTAGTTTTTACTGTCGGGTATTCATCACTTGAGTATTATGTAAAGTGACTTGCTTGTGGATGAAGTCTTCCAGTAGTTATTTCGAATGCAGATGGATGTCATACAGTACATCCAGTTAGCTTCGTCAGCGCCATCTGTTACGTGACTTTAAAGCTTCTTCTGTTTGTATTTTAATTGAATGTCCCAGTACAGATATATATTCCGCACAGTGGAACTTCTGTAGGATGTAATATGACTGGTGTTTACAGTCGTTTTCGTTATGTGATTTAGAACGTCTGTCTATGTGTGAATACACATTATTTCTGTATTGCTAGATGCATACGTGTACATTTAGACCTGAGTAGTGGGAATAAACTATAACCAGTGTTCTTTTGTTGTGTAGCAGTAATTTGAAGGGCAGAGTTGCCCCCTATAAATACCAGATTCACCTTCATGATGATAATCCGCGACTGTAACGCCTTGCCCGTGCCCTAGATGGTTCTAAGATAGTCAACTTGAAGACATACATCACGCTCAGCAATTGCTCAGATGTAACTGAAATACTGTGGCGTTATTGCCAACTCACACACTGATAACATATTAGACCCCTGTTACGACGTAAATTGTAATAAAAACGCAAATTGTAATACTTGCAGCAAATTTTAACAAACTTGACGTAAATTGTAATAAAAACGTAAATTGTAATAAAAATTGACGTAAATTGTAATACGCAAATTGTAATAAAAAATCGACGTAAATTGTAATAAGTTTAGTTGCGGTAAAATGTAATAAATGTTTACGTAAATTGTAATAACAGTTTTAATCACTCGTAAATACACGGGTGTTTGTTTTTCGTTGCATTTCATACATCAAATAAGCTTGTAGGGCGATAACTCAAGAAAGAAATGATGGATTTTGTTCAAATTTGGTACCAAGGTATATTGGCAAGATTCACCGACACAAGTGAAATGGAGTGACCTTGAGATAATTGTCAAGGTCATAGCAAAAATCTGAGGGTTTTGCCAATATAAAGATTGTTAGCGCGATAACCCAAGAATGAACTGACAAATCTTAGCTAAATGACGAAAATGATATTCGTCCTGATATATAATCGATATCAACTGTCGTCTGTATTATGTCTTTTCGCAAATATCTTTTGAGGTTTAGATATGCATACATATAAAGTGGGGTAGGGGTGGGTTTCTAACGGGTATATCTAACACACTTGCATGCATGTAGAGTCGGAGTATAACTACGAGGGACGTTCAGATAGTAGTCAGCCTCACCTAGAATATGATACAAATGCAGCTGTTTTTATGATTTATTTTTCTACATATTATCTTTCAGCCTCAAGCAAATTGGTTTTGCTATGTTGCAGCCTCACGATCCCCATTTCGTGAGACTTTGTATCTTGGCTTGGTACTCCCCAAAAACTTAAAATCTGCAATAAACTGCATCACAAACTTCAGGAAACAAAATATGCTATGTTTGAACTTGGTAGAAGTCGGCTAGAATAAAACTTAGATATTAAACTGCACAAAAAAGCAATTTCAAAACTACAATCGCTTGCTCAAATGACTCCCCATTCTGTTTACTGAAAGAACTCGAGAAAGAAATGATGGATTTTGTTCAAATTTGGTACCAAGGTTTATTGACTGGAGATTGGAGATTTACCGACACCACTTGAATTTAGTGACCTTGAGGTCATTTTAAAGGTCACAGCGAAGGTGTAACAGTTTTGCACATGCCAAGCTTGGTAGCCGCGAACTCAGGAAAGTATACTGAGTCAAAAAAGAAACTTCACAAAATGTTATTTGAAAAATAATGAATAATTTTTATCTGATGATACATCTATGTATCCGAAATGGGATCCCTATCTTTCGACTCTAGAAAAACGTTAGCAAAACCCACGCAAACCCATCCATTCGTAGTGCAAATGACGTTAGTGCCAAATCAGGTTTAGCACGTGCAGTAGATCACGTGATCTTCGCATCGAAGTTTTCTTCATATGCACGTGTTTGCATTGGCCTCAAGAATTGAAAAAAACACTTTTAAACCACAGTTCTAACGGTACTTGAAATGCCACGATTGTCAAATGTGCAACGTGATATGCCGTTGGCATGTTGCAAGCGGGAAGATCAGTTATTGACGTCGCAAGAGCAATGGGATGCAGCCGTCATACTGTGTATGACTTGCCAGGTCGTCTACAACAAACTGGCACCACTTCTGATCGCCCAAGGTCGGGTCGTCCACGTGTGACGTCACGAGCAGAAGACCGTCACATC